AATTGGCGGCTCAGCAGGGGACTTACTACCGCGAGACTTTGTAATAGGCAGCGCTTCATCCTCGTAATATTTCCGGGTTTCCGTACCTAATCCCTCATCCTCATCGCTTAAGTTACGAGGACTAAGTTGCTGCCATGGGGAAGGTGAGTGCGAATTGGTGATGCGTATGGTAGTGGGCCCGACCGCGGCGGCTTGCGATCCATACGCATCATGCGCGCGTGGTGATGGTTCAATTATAATGCGACTGCCATTGCTATTTCCAATTCGACGGTTATGGGAGTTGGTGTTATAGCTGGCATTTTTTAAGATGTTTTGACTAGCAGAAAAGTCAGTTCGATCAACTGACTGTCGACCCAGCACCATATCAGACATAAGGAGATCGCGTTCCGGTGAACGTAGATCCCTAATATCACGAGCTGGTGAACGGTACTCTCGCTGCGGCGTACGCAGGTCTCGGATGGGTGAATGTAGTGACTGGCGACGTTGGTTTTGTTCTTCATTGTGATCCAACTGTGCATACATGATTCCCTCATTCGGGCGTATGTATGAAAAAGCCGGACCAGACAGTGGTGGTGGTGGAGAAAAGCGTTCCATTGACAAACGCTTTGCCAGCCCATTGACAGTGACGCCCTTGGTAAGCGGTAATTTTTGTGCCGGCAACTGTGAGCTATGCATGTTCTCTTGTGATTTGGATTGTAATGTGAGAATTTTATCACGTATCCCGTTTGATATGGGCCCCTTTCCTAAGATATTGCCGTCTTCAGCAGCTTGCGTACGACTACGATGGAGCAATTCATTCAAACCACTCTCATGTTTTTCACGCTCGGTTATAGCCTCAGATTTACGACGTTCCCGGTTGAATTGCTCCGCAAAGTAGTCTTCCTTTTGTACGTTTTCAATAATTGGACTAAGTGGCGTATTAATCAGCTGTTGCTTGCTCGAACCATTTAAAGCTTGAAGATTACCAGAAGTAACCGCTGGTTTGGAATCCTTTAAAGATTTTTTGAGTTTACGCTCCGCCTTATTGTACGAGCCAACATCACTCTTACTTCGAACTAGGCGCCTGCCACCGCTGTCTTCAAAGCGTGGATCGCGTTCTACCTGATTGACGTTCGTGTCACTGCGCCGACTGAAGATATTAAAAATAGAAGGACGTTTAGCGCTTTTTTTAGCAGCAGCGTCACTGACACTGCGCGAAAGTGGTTTTGCCGGAGCTTTCTTCTTGCGAGTTGGTAGTGAATGGAATTTGTTTGGATTCGAATCGCTACTGCGCTTAGTACGAACCTTAAATGTGGGAATATTGTCGCCGTTTTCGGCTTTACTTTTGTGACGCTCAGCTTGAGCGAGTACCAAGGCGGCTTCTTTGCGTATGCTCTCTTCTGAAAGATCAGCGGGAAGCTGATGATAAGGTGGTGCGGTATTTTGAGGTGGTTGTAGGTTAGTTGTTTCGTAGTTCGTTAATTCGTTTGGATGTTTTCCTGCAATTATGGTAGAAGAAAAATTATTAAGCATTAATTGACTAAATCAAATAGCTAATAAGCATACAGAAGGGCATAAGTATATAAATACGTATGTTTGTATGAAGCATTCCTTTTTATTAGTTAATTTCATCGATTATATTTTT